AAAATTCTCTATTTTCATGGTCTAATCATTAGTTTATTCAGATTACTTCAAAGTATTCTTGGTCCTCATGATACTAAGAAATGCTCTTGTTGGGCTGAGGGTGTAACTCTGGTAGAAGGCTTGCCTAGCAGGCCTGGGGCCCTGAATTTTGTTCCTATAATGTGGCGCATGCCTATTATTCCAGCACTCTGGGACGCTGAAGCATGAGGCTTGCCCCAGCCTGGGCAGTTTAGAAAGATCCTGTCTCAAATGGAAAAGGAAAATAAATAAAGATAGATATCCTAGAAATGTCACTCTTCAGGGTCTACCTCACATACCATTTCTTCACTTGATCTTAGCCAAAAGGCCGAGAAGCGATTCACATACCATTTCTTTTGCAAAGCTTTCATTCCTAAGAACTCAAGATGGAGCCGATAACTTCCGGGATGTAGCTTAGTGTGATGACTCTAGGTTCCAGTTCCCGGCACTGCTAAATAAGTAAGTTACCAGTTGGCTTCTAATTATTAATCAGCTGGCCTTTTAAAGTCCTTTTAATGCCACTTCATTTTCGTCTTTAACATTTTTAGCCATTTTCTTCTTGAAAGTCTGTCCACTTATTTCTAGTGTACTATTCTATTTCTTATTAAAGCTGTGTTTAAATAGAAAATATTTAAAATGAAAATAATTATATCTGCTACCCCCATTTAACACATTAACAGTTTAATTTGCTTTCATCACATTAGCATTTGTTATTATTGTTATTTTAAGAAAAATATACCATAACTACATTTAGAAGATTCTCTGTCTCTAGTTGATAACTGTGTTTTCCAGGATGAACGTATTCCCAGCTTTAATTGTTTCTTCCTAATATGTTTTCCTGTACATTTCTTATGTGCAGGTCCTCTAACATTATATTCATTCTTCACTTCCTTCCAGATCTGTGCCTTGGCTGAGTTATTATTTCCAAAAGATTTAGTTAACTTCTGAATATAGTTTTGTTTAGTCTTTTCTTGCTTCCTATCTTTTTTTGAGCTTTAAGCATATATTAGACTCCATGACTTGTTCCACTCACACTTAAGTGATCATCTAAAACTAACTCATGGGTCCATTATTGCTTCTTCTTTCCAGTTTATAGTGCATTATTGATCATAGTTATATTTATATCTTCTCTTGCTATTTACCTTTTTAAAAATTTATTGGTAACTTTTTGTTAAGTTTTATTTAATTTGAAATGGGCTTGCTGTGTTGCCCAGGCTGGTCTTAAACTTATAGACTCCAGTTGTCTTTCTTAATCCTCTATACACAAATTAAAAGTTACTGTGTAAAAGTAACCTTTATTTCAGTCCTCTACTTGTGGCTCCCCATCCTGCCATGCTTACAAGTATCTTCATATATTCTTGCCACAGAGAGATTTTCTGTTCCCAGGATCTACCATGCTTTTTTATCTCAAGCATTTGAGCCGTCTGTGCACTTCTTCATACATCCCGGAATATCTTGTTTTCCTAGAAATGTTCAACTCTTCAAGGCCTAGCTCACACACCACTTCTTTTGCAAAGCTTTCGTTCCTAAGAACTCAAGATAGAGTGATAACTTCTCTTGTATTCCCACAGCATTCTGTACCTACCTCCACTTTAGCATTTTTTCCCTCTAGCACGTTTCACATTTTTCAGTACTGTATTTGTTTCTTACACTTAGGGCCAGAGTGAACCTTAGAACCATTGCCTAACATGCACAAGGCCCTGGGTTCCATACCAAGTGGGAGAGCGGGGTAGTTTCTTAGACTTGTTTGTGACCTTTTTAAAGAAAATGGCCATTTCTTGCCATACCCAGATTTTACAGTGTCTAGTAACATATATATTGTTAATAAATACATATCTGTTAGTAGTTTGGAACTTGGAAGAAACTTTCTCTTATGCTTCCCATCAAAGTGTTTCTAAGGCAACCCATAAAAAACTGCTTAACTCATATTTATATGTGAAATTCACTTCAAAATATGTCACATCCTATATTTTTAATAGTGTTTCTGAACAAGGTAGGCAGCAGTGATAGCTCCTATGTATCGATACCGGTCTCTTGGTAAAAAAGGATTGAAAATGGTAGTCTGTTTTGGAGATGTTGGAAGGGGAAAGTGGTGGACATGAGGAGCTGGGTCAAAAATTTTGGATTAAGGAGGAAAAGCTGCAGAGAAGAGAAGCAGTGGATGACTTGAGAAGGTGAGGAAAAACGTGGCTTCTGAAGGAGAGGACTTGAAGTTGGGAGTCTTATCTTGCAGAAAGGTTTCAGAATGAAGGAGAGAGTGAAGATGAAGAATTAAGGAAATGGAGTGGATAATTATGTATCCTCTCTTGAATTGATGCAGTACTTCACAGCCTATACAGTTGAAAATAATTTTGCTCCTTTATATAATTGCTGTTTTTTTCTAAACCTAATTTACACAGCTGTTTATATGTCCTTAATATTTAGACTATGTGTATAATTTTGCTAATTCCTTATACTGGGATTTTTATATTTTTTGCAGTTTAACATTTTATTAATATTTAACTGTTGGCTAAAATTTACTCTTCAGCCTTGGGCATTGAGTCAGAATTTTTCAACCTGATAGGCAAACAAAAGTACCTAGTTTTAATTTGCGTTTACTGGAAGACTGAGAAGCTTCGTATACTGTTTTTTCCTATGGCAATCGGTCTTTGCTATATCTTTGTGAATTGCCTCTTGCTTTTGCTATTTTCCTGGAAGATATTTTCTTTGCTTGTATAAGAGTTGCCTGTATTAAGAATGTCAACCAACTTTCATATATGTACTGTATGTGTATATTGAAAGCAAGAAAACATAAGTCAAAGACAAAAACATGTTCCCTATCCTTATCTCTTTAGCTTTACTTAAGATCCCTACCATATGAAGTTATGTAATCACATCCATTAGTCTTTTCCTTTAAGATTTCTAATTTTACTCTTGGTTTAAAAGATTTGTCCAGTACTGGCTTATGAAATGACTTAGCTTTTTTTTTTTTTTTTTCCTAATACTGTTAGACACAATTACCTTTTATGTGTTTGGTTTATAATTTATTCATGTTTGGATGCTTGTTCTCGTTATATGTTTAGAAAACAGTATATATATTTAAAAGAGTCACTCTAAAACCTTACAGCTGGACCCGGGATTTAGCTTAGTGGTTCTGCCGCCTGCCTTGGAAGTGGAAGGTCCGGAGCTTGATCGCTGGTACCAAAAAACAACCTTACAACTGTGAAGTTCTGAGATTGCTTCTATTTTAATACATATACAGAGTAATCAAAATATATGATAAATGTTTAAATTTTTAAACATTTATTAAAGTAAGAAACATTGCTGTCAGTCCCCTCAAACTCCTTTCCTACTTCAGACGTGCTCATCTCATTGTTCTTGCCACTTTATAAACAGGTCCGGAAGTCGTCTTTCATGTCTTTACAAGATGTGACAAAAAATACAGTGAATATTGCTGCCAAATGCCGTCCAATGGAAAGACAGGGACAAAACATTATCGTGTGTTCTTAGTCACTGATCTGGTACCATGCAACTTCTATTTCTCACAGTCGTAATGACTGTGAAAGGCAAACATTTTGAATTGATTCAAAACATTGAAGCAGCTACAACAGTGAAACTTTAGTTGTGACACTCACAAAAAAGGACTTCCATAAAGAATGAGAACTTAGATTCATTCATAGGAAAATGGATACATATTGAGGATATGCTCCTAAGTGAAATAAATAAGGCACACATGTGTAAGTACCGAATTGTTTCTCTGGTGTGAATAAACTATAATAGTACATAAGATCCTAATGAGATAATGGGCAATGTGAAATAGGAAGAAAGGGGCTAAAGGTGTAGGGAAAGTGGGAAGGGTAGGGGAAAGGAAAAAAATAGGAGAAAATGGAAATAAAATGTAAATAGGGGAGGGGAGGAGGGAGTGAAGGGGGAGGGCAGGGACAAGGGGAAAAAATGAGAACCAAGACCTGTCATGTAGAGGTACAAGACCCCAATGATGAATGTAACTGTACTGTATACCTAAAATGTACCAATAAACTCAGGAAAAAAAAAAGGACTTCCAGAACTGCTTTGGAAAGTGGCACGAACAATGAGATAAGTGAGTTAGAACAGAGGGATTAAATGGGGTGTGTAGTGCCTGCCTGTACTCCCAGCTCCTCAGGAAGCTGAGGCAGAAGGGTGGAAGTTCAAGGCCAGCTGGGAAATTCAGGGACACCCTTTCTCAAAATTTAAAAGATGCATAGCATAGCACTTTCTGGGCTAAATCCAGAGTTTGGCAAAAAAGAAAGAAAAAAAGTAAATGAATTAATGAAATCAACATTAGTTCTTCCACAGCAGTGAAAAGAATAATGTGGGTTTTGTAATATTAGTAAACCTCCTATACACAAATTACATTGGTAGGTGATACTGTGGGTAAGAGATGAGTTAAGGACAACTCTTGTTTTTAAGCAGTGTATTGCCTTTAATTTGGGGGTATGTTGGGAATTACACCTTCAAACAAAAAATAATGCAAAGTGGAGTAAAGTCTCCCCAAAGTACATTGGTGTTTTTAAAGAAAATGGTGTTTTACCTCACCTTAACAAAATGTTTAAGGACATACATGTGTTTAACCTGATTTAAGTATTACACAGAATACACGTGTCAAAACATTACACGGTACCTCATTAATACCTCCCCCCTTTTTTCAGGTATCACAGTATTTATTGATAGATACAAGTATATAAAATCAAGGCATGAACATGACTTGATAAACGACTTAATTCCAATACTATAATAAGAGGGACCAATTCAGATACTCACCATTTGTTTCACACCCATAAAAACCACTTCAAGGGCATTAACAATCTCTCCAAACTGATCCATTTTGTGCAAGTAAACTGTGCTCTTTTAAAAAGACTTGTGCGCTCGCCCAGGCTCAAGGATATTAAAATTGAGCAATGAAGCCCATTACTGGAGGTAGAAACATAGGCAATGATCCCTACCTTTGTTTTGTTTTTTTTAAGCTTTGCTCCCCGCACCAGTGCTGGGATTGAGCCCAGGGCCTCAAGATTGCTATACAAGTGCTCCCCCACTGAGCTACATCCCTAGTTGGTCTGTCTTTGTTGCATCCTCCCCCAACCCTGCCAAACCAGGGATTGAACCCAGGACTTCGCACTTGCGAGGCAAGTATGGTGTCAGTGAGCTAAAATCCTGTTCCTGCCTTTAATCTATTTTCTCCCTCCCTCTCTCTCTTCCTCCCTCTCTCCCTTCCTTCCTTTCCTCATTATAAAGTCTGTGTTGCCCAGGCTGGCCTTGAACTTGGAATCCTTGTACCTCACCTACCATAATAGTTGAGATTACAGGCATATGCTACAACCCAAGTATAACTTCTATGTTTGTAGGTCAGCGTTTAAAGAAAAAGATAATTTTACTAATTATAGAGAAAGTCCACATTATAAATAATTTGTATAATGATCATCAGTGAATGAATAGGATTTTTAACAGGTAGAGATGTGGAGAGTATTTTGGACAGAGGCAATTTTGGGAAGGGAAAAAACCCTACAAAAATAGAAAAATCGGGCCGGGGATTTAGGTCAGTGCCGCCTTGCCTGCCTGGCAAGCACAAGGTACTGAGTTCAATCCCCAGTCCAAAAAAAAAAAAGAAAGAAAAGGAAAGCCTAGGGCATATGTATGTATTTGGAAAGCATTGTGTATGTGCACGTGTGTGTGCAAACTTAAGTATGAGAGAATAGTAGGATACACTGTTGAAGAGGTTGCAAAGCCAGCGTAAAATTTGGTAGGCATTAGGGACGTGTCTATTGATAAGGAAGGGAAAAGGAATAGATCTCTCTTGGTTTGAATGGTAGCCACAACCTTAGGCAGCTGTCAAACCTTTGAAATATGATTAGTCCAAATTATAATGTTTTACATATGCAAAATACACACTGGATTTCCATGACTCGGTACAAAAAATACATAAAACATCTCACTGAAAATGCTTACATTGATTACATGTCAAAGTAATTATTTTAGATACACTGGCTTAAAATTTAATTTAAAAAATTAATTTTACCTATTTGTATTTGGCTACTAGAAAGTTTAATATATGCCACTTATATTTGTTACTTATTTCTCTTGCATTATATCCCTGGTCTGTGTGGAAACCCTGTATGTGCCAGATTGTCTAGAACTTGCATCCTCATAAGCCATATAAGCAGGTATTCCTTTTTCAAGTCCAGTAATGGGGTGCAGAGAGTTTAAGCAACATACCTGAAATCACTCTGCTGCTAAATAGGAAGCCGAGATTCAAGTTTAGGCCTCACTGACTTTAAATCCCTTGCTTTTCCCAATTACTATGGCATGTTATCGTTAGTTGGAGACTGATATGATTGGAATAAGGCTTTGGCCGAATCATAAGGAGATGAGTTAGGGAAGAGACTTTGTTTTCAGCTGTCTGATTTTGTTTTGTTACTTTTCTGGGGGTGGGGTGTGCCTTGATCAAAGTCATATTTTCAATTGCATCTCTTTCAAGTAGGATTTTAATTAGTTCTCAAAATATCTGCCTTATTGTGTCTAGATTTGATAATGGGCTGCATTAAAAGTAAGGAAGACAAAAGTCCAGCCATTAAATACAGAACGGAAAACACTCCAGAGCCTGTTGGTACCAGCGTCAGCCATCACGGAGCAGAGCACACAGCGGTGGCACCGTCCTCTTCAGTGAAGGGCACATCAGCGAACTTCAGCAGCCTCTCCCTAACACCATTTGGGGGATCCTCTGGGGTGACTCCTTTTGGGGGAGCGTCTTCCTCATTCTCAGTGGTGCCAAGTTCTTATCCTGCTGGTTTAACAGGTGAGAGCCAAATGGACAGTGAAGCTGTTGGAGAACATAACCTTGGGCAACGCACACGTCAGCTGTGTGCTACTAAGAAAAGTATCTTACTGCAGGGCTTGCCCAAAAATTACATGTAAATATTAGAGTCTCTGGTATCAAAGTTAAAGTCTTGCCGGGCGTGGTAGTGCACACCTGTAATCCCAGCACTTGGGAGGCTGAGGCAGGAGCATCGCTGTGAGTTTGGGACCAACCTGGGCTACGTAGTGAGTTCCAGGTCAGTCTCAACTACATAGTGAGTGAGACCCTATCTCCAAAAATCCGAAAAAAAACCAAAACGAAGTTAAAGTCTTAATATAGTACTCGAAGACTTGGTACTCCATGTGTTTTAATATGAAAATTTTATCCCAGGAATCATCATTTGTCTGGTACTCGAAGCCAAGCTAGAATGTGTCTGTGTTGATTGTTTGAGATTCACTGTTCTTTGGGGCTAGAAGAGTTTGTTTGCTGCTGGTCTTTTTTGGTTCCTCATGCTGCACGGAGCCAATTAACAAACTGGTGATGATCTGATGGTGGTTGAATACCACTAATTATTTCATCATCTTGTTATTCAGGTCATTATTGAATGCCTGTTATGTGGCAGGCACTGGGACTATAAAGATTAAAACATACATCTTTCCCTGAAGAATCGTATAACTTCTCAATACTGTAAAGTGCTATGAATATTAAAGTATTGCAGTAGTTATTAATAATTATATGACAGTGTAGAAATGATTCCATATTTCTGTCAGATACTACTGATTTTAAAAAGAGAAATTCTGAGCTGTAAAAAATTTAAAAGATTCTTTTCCCAGAGTTACAGATAAGCAGGAGAGCTCAGATTTGTTCTATTCTAGAACTTCTCTTATTTACATTATCATATCTTTTCAGAGAATAGCAGGAAATGATAGTTGACAAGCTTTCATGGAGGCAGAATACTTTAAAAACGTAGATTAAGAAACTTTAAAAAGAGTGAAAATAACTCTTTTTGTCAAAGGTTCCCTATCAGGATGCTTTTCCCTTGAAGTAACAAAACATAGCTGGCTTAAAAGAAGAATGAGCTGCAGGGTTCCTGAGGAGAAGTTCCATGATGTCAGCAGGGATGCATGTTTCTTTCATCTCTCTCCTGCAGCCCTCGGAGTGTCCACTTTATCCTCGGGCACATACAGCTGCTGGCCTCAAGTGGGGTGACTTGTGTCCTTAAAACCAGCCAGGAGGGGCAGAAGAGAAATCTCTTCTTCAGCCATGGACTCTTAAGTTGTCTCTGGGTCTGCTCACCTCTGGACCACTGACAATGGCCAGAGGACTGCCTGGCTTGCACTGATGTATCAAACAGCATTTGGGGAGTATGGCATGAGAGTCAGTCCCAGTTCCAGTGCTGTCTTTCTGGCTCTAAATACATCAGGAATTGATGGCCTTGATGCTATTTCTTAGTCATTAGCACAAGTTTAAATTATTTTTAGGATTATATGCTTGGGAAAGGTAATTCAAAATGGTTCAAATAAATGTTGATACTTAAAAGACATACTTTAAAGCAGTTTATTTACGTGAAATAGTTCATTCTCCGATATTCATTTACTACCTTACCAAAAGTGGAATGTCTGTGTGCCCAGCTATAAAGAGATGAGCAAGACAAACATGGTTTCTACCCAGATGGAGTTTACATTAGAAGAGGATTGGACAATAATCTGTCAGTAAACAGCTAAAGGATGATCAGTGGTTCTCAAATACTGTGAAAGAGCGAACAAGCATGACGGTGAAGGCTCTGAAGTCGAACAGAGAAAGCCTCCTCAGGAAGAAACCATTTGAACTGATACTTGATTGATGAGACTGACCTGTCTGTAGCCCTGGGAGAAGAGATTTCAAGGGAGAAGGAATAACATGGTCCGGGAGGTACAGGACGACATAGAAGTGGGTTTTTCGTTTTGATCTGGTTTGATTTCTTCTTGTGTCGGTCTTCCCCTTCCCTGTTCTAGGCACCTGTTTGTACTAGGCATGTGCTCCACCACTGAGCTACATCACCAGCCCTTTTTTAAAATTTATTTTGAGACAGGGTCTCAGTTGCCCATTTAGCTTCAAATTTCCAGTCCTCCTACCTCGGCCTCCCAGCCTGGAATGATGGTCATGTGCCAGCACCCCCGCTTGGATTTGGAATTTAAAAACAAAACCCAAGCACTCCTCTGGCAGGTATGGAGGGTAGACGGGAGCAAAGCAGTATCGAATCAGGTGAGAGTCTAGTACTCTGAATCTTCCCAGCAATTCTGGTGAGAAATGACATGGAGTGGAATTGAGATGGCAGCACTGAAAAGGGAAAGTAGATAAATATGTGTAAAACTGATAGTTCTAATGTGTTTGGCTTGAGTACCTGATTAGATAGTAGTGATTTAGGAAAATACAGGTTAGAGGAGAAAAATGAAGAACTTCATCTTGTACATAATAAATTCTAAATGCATATTAAACATGCATGTTGTCCAACAGAACATCAGACAATTGGTAGGTGACAAACTTGAAGAGAAGTAGCTAATGTGTGTGACTGTACCTTTGGTGTTCTGTTACTTTGGAGACACATTTCATAGTGTTTATACTTAACAGTCTATTTGTAGTTTTACTGCCTGCCCTTTTTCCTGCTGTTTCTTAAAAATATCGGGGCTGCAAATTTGCTCAGTGGCAGTGTGCCTGCCTCACAAGCACAGGTTCTGAGTTCGATCCTCAGTACCAAAAATAAATAAATAGTTGTATGTCAGTAAACTCATAATTGATTTGGCAAGTCAGAGGAACTATGTTGAGTAGACAGTGTACATATTCAAATTAAGAATATATTGTTCAGGCCAGGGATTTAGCTCAGCGGTTCGGTGGCCTGCCTTGTAAGTGCTAGGACCCGAATTCGATCCCCGGTACAAAAAAAAAAAAAGAATATATTGTTCAGAGCTGGCCATGTCCTCAGCAGCAAATCCTTGCCTAGCATGCTTGAGACTCTAGGTTCGCTCTCTAGCAACACACACACAAAAGTCAAAAAACTTGTCGAAAGTTACAAAATTTTATTTGGGAAGAATAAGTTCAAAAGATTTGTTGTAAAACCTGATGACTGTAGTTAATAACAGTGTATTGTATTCTTAAAAGTTGCTGGGATGGTAGAGTTTGTTTTTCTCAGCACATACACAAAAAGGAAGGAGTATATTAATTAGCTTGATTTGGCCATTACTTAATGTATACACGTCCTGTCCTGTCCCCACACAACCACCACCACCACTGGGAATCAAACTCAGGACCTTGTGCTTACCAGGTAGGTACTGCACCACTGAGCTAAATCCCTGGCCCTTGTATACATGTTTTAAAACTTAGTATTGTATATGATAAATATATAGTTTTTTTTTTAGAAAGTAACATATTGCAGGTTTTTTAAACCAGAATACCAGCCTTGAATAATTTTAAACACTAAAATGTCATACATTGCATAAATCTGTTATTTCTTTTGATTACACAAATATTTTGGTTGTTCATTGTGTTCATCTCTAAAGCATCTGTACATACTGCTAAATATGGCAGCCGTACCATTTAATTTGAAGATAATGTTTTATATTAAAATATATAATAAATTTACCAAAACCCTAGTGATAATTGTTAACGGTAATAGAAATGCACCCACATTATGTGTAAGAAGTTGAGATCAGCCCCAGTATAGTGTGTGCTAGTCCTCTTCCAGAGAATTGATTTGAAATTTAACTCTTTTCAAGGCAAAGATGTTGCTTCAAAAGTCAAAATTAAATTTATTTCTCTGAGTCGATAGAATTTTAGAATTTTTACAGTGTAATGCTTTCATGGAAGGACTTAAGAGAGATCTTAGTATCCCAGAATGGCAAAAGCAAACCTGAGTAACAAGAGCAAAGCAAGAGGCGTCGCAGTCTTGGATGTGAAGTTACATTACAAAGCTACAGTGATTTTTTTAAAAGTACAGTTCTGGCACAGAAACAAGGATGTGGCTCAATGGAACAGAATAGAGGAAGCAAAAACAACCCAAGGACATTGAGCTATTTGATCTTAGGGGCCAAAAACATACACTGGAAGAAAGAGAGCCTCTTTAATAAATGGGTGCTGGGAAACTGTCTTTCCACATGCAGAAGATGAATCTAGACTCGTATATCTCACTCTGTACTAAATTAAAATCAAGGGCCAGGCATTTAGCTCAGTGGTTCTGCCACCTCCCTTGCAAACACAAGGTCCTGAGTTCAATCCCCAGTAACCCCCCGTCCCCCAAAAATTCAGGTTCTAAATTAAAATCAAAATGAATCAGAGATCTGAATGTTAAAAGAGAAACACTTAATCTGCCGAAAGATAACATAGGTAAAACTCTTAAAGACATAGATGTAGGCAAGCATTTTCTGAACAGAGCCCTGACAGCATAGAAAAAGTACTGAGAATCAACAAATGGGATCATACCAATTAAAAAGCTTTTGTATGGCAAAGGAAATTACCAACAGAGTGAAGAGACAACCCACCAAATTGGAAAAACTTTTACCAGCTCTCAGAGAACTGTTATCTAGAGTATATAAGAACTGAAAAAGGTCGGGGGGGGGCAAATGAAATGAAAAACACATAGAAATACAAATGGCCAGTGAATGCATGAAGAAATTTTCAAGCTAAGCATGGTGATGCATGCCTATAATCCCAGCATTCAGGAGGCTGAGGCAGAAGGATCACAATTTCCGGGCCAGCCTGGGCTACATAGTGAGTTTTAGACTGGCCTGAAGTACATACCCTGCCTCAAAAAAAAGAAAGAAAGATTCAGCATCACTCACCACTAGAGAAGTGCAAATTAAAACACAGATTCTGTCTCCAGAAAGAATGACTGTCTATCATCAAGAAACAAATAACAACAACTGATGCTAAGACTGCAGGGAAAAAGGAATCTTTCTACATTGTGGGGTATGTACGCTAGTACAACCACTATGGAGATCAGCACTCATCAAGAAACAAATAACAACAAATGATGCTAAGACTGCAGGGGAAAAAGGAATCTTTCTACATTGTGGGGTATGTACGCTAGTACAACCACTATGGAGATCAGCATAAAGATTCTTGAAAAAAACTAAAAATAGAAATTCCATTTGACTCAGCTGTTCCTCCTCTAGGTATCTTCTTGAAAGCGTTAAAGGCATTGTACTATGTATGCATAATCCACATTGATAGCAACACAACTCATAATAGCTAAATCTTCAAAGACGCCTATCTGTCCATCGGGAGATGAAAGGATGAAGACCATGTGGCAGCTATGGTGGAGTATTACTGTGCCATAAAGAAGGGGAAACATGAGTTCTTCGTAGAAAAGTGACTTTACCTCAAGACCATGATGTTAAGTAAAATCAGTCAGACACACAAGTACGAATATTGCATGGTTTCTCGTATATGAGAAACCCAAATTATAAATAAAGAGCAAAATAAAAGCTGGATAATAGGAAGTCGGGAGTAGATCTTTCTCAAAGGGGGAAGAGATGGAGGAAGGAGAAGAAAAAAGAATTAAGATGTGCTGTGTACTTGTACCAACTCCCCAAAAGGAATGTCATCAGTATGCTCTGCCGACAGAGAGCGAGGGAAAGAGAATATATCTCACTAACTCAAACTCCAGCTGCCCAAAGCTTCTGACTTCTGAAACATAGATGCTGAAGACTAGGGAAAAACTAAGCTTTTTTTGCTGGCAGTAATACTTTATTTATCTTTTATGTATTATCTGTATAATTTACCATGATCTTTTTTTCTTATGGTAGGTGGTGTTACTATATTTGTGGCCTTATATGATTATGAAGCTAGAACTACAGAAGACCTTTCATTTAAGAAGGGTGAAAGATTTCAAATCATTAACAATACGTAAGTGTTGTATTTTGTGAGAGAAAAATCCTGAAACCTGGTCTCTTGTGTTGAAACCATGGAGCTAGTTGACGGGGAGATGAGTGGTGGGGCTTGTGTCTCTGTCCCCTGGTTGGCCGGTGTGTTTCTTCCTGAGACACGACGTGAGACTGTTGCAACTGGCAGAACTTCCACTCGCGCAACTTGCGCTGCCACGGTTGATCATGAAGAGTGGAGCCCGAAGAGTGAAGCTCAGTGGTGGGCACAGGGGTGGTGTGACTCTGTGTTCTTGAGTAAGTACCGGGTGGTTTAAAGATCTTTCACCATCTGAGCGTACTAGTAATCCCATCATTCTGGGAGGCCGAGGCAGGAGGATTGCAAGTTTGAGCCCAGCCTGGGCACTTTAAGAAAATCATTACTCAAAATTTTAAATAAAAAACTCTAGGGGGTATAGCTCAGTGCCAGATCCCTGGGTTTAATCCCCAGGACCAAAAATAAATATTTCCTTTTACAGAGATAGAGAGAGGGAAATTTTTTAGTCAGGAGCTCTTGCATTCTCAAACTGACCACAGTTAGTTGCTTTTTCTTATTTGATTGTTAGACTTTCTGTTATTTACTGGTCTACCATAGAAAATGTGATGTTTGCAAGGGATTTATTTTAGTGGTTCCGCCACCTACTTCTCCAGGTACAAGGTCCTGAGTTCGATCCCCGGTACCAAAGAAAGAAAAAGAAAATGTGATGTTTGTTATGGAAAGAACATCCCATAATTTCAATAGCAAGTGAAAGTTAGAACATACACCTGCGGGCGCCTTGCTTCCAGGAGCGTTTCTTTCCTCCGGTTCCCATCTGTTATCAGTAGCTACCAGTTGCCATCACATGAAAGAACAACAACAATATTAGTCATAATTCATTGAGAATTTACTGTGTGCCTCTCTGGAGTTTTCTGCTCTCTCTGTGCCTTCATATACATTATTTTCCTTTTTCCTAGAGTAACATCTCTCTGCTTTCTTTTTCTGTGCTGGAGATTATCAGAGACCTCTGCAGTAGGCTCTGATCTCCTACTTGGTGCTGTGGCACAAGCCTGAGGAAAAAACCTAAAAGACAGAACTAAGAGACAAACCGGGGAGCCTGGATGGCTAATGCTGCTTCATTAGCAAGGGCACTGGTCCATCCAACCCGCTCATTTTTGTTAGTAATCATTTGGGGTAACGATGAGCTGCATGCAAGGGCAGGAGTCCACCAGAAATTGTGCAGTTGTGCAGTTTCTGTGGAAATTTATGGAAGCCTCATAAAGAACAAGGCAAAGCATTCTCAAAGTAGGAACAGAAGAGACAAAATATGTGGTTGTAATTAGAACATTGTCCTTCTAGTTAAAAAGATTTTAGTTGTGGGATCAGGATTTGGGTGTAGTCACTCTGAGTATCAGGCTTCAGCAGGACTCTCTCAAAACAAGCCAGTGTGGGGTTCACTCTTCACAGCCTGCCTTGGGCATAATCAGTATTGCGGTCTTGCAGGGGGTCAGATCCAGGGCCTCATGAATGCTAGGCAAGTGCTCTACACCAATCCTCACTCCCAGCCTCCTTTCTTTATCTCCCAACCCTACTACTCATCTTTCAAAATACAAGACGTGTATTTTCTCAGTGGTGCCTTTCCTTAAATCGCTGTCCTCCTGCCTGCCTTAGTCCCCATGCCCTGCTACAGTGTCTGTCAAGGTGTTCACATAGCATCCTGTGCACAGGTCAGTCGTGACTCAACAGTTGAATTTATAATTTGTTGATTGGCTGTAGTACTAAGGATTGTAATTTTCATTTGGCTTGTCATTATTTTACTTACCTGTTTGTTTATTGCAGTACTAGGGATTGAACATAGGGCTTTCACACTGAGCTACATCCTAAGCCCTTTTTTATTTTTTGTATTGAGACAGAGTCCTGCTAATTGCTGGGGCTGGACTTGAATTTGCAATCTTCCTGCCCCAGCCTCCCAAAGTGATGGGATTTATGGGGTCGAGGATTTAGCTCAGTGGTGCCACCACCTTCCTCACAAGCACGAGGTCCTGAGTTCAATCTCCCGTACCAAAAAAAAAGTGCTGGGATTACAGGAATGCACCACCACACCTTGCTTTGTCATTCTTTTGGACCAGTGACTCACTGGGACAGTCACCCAGGAGATGTTCATCTGCATAGTGTGGGTAGAGCTTACTGTGGCTGTCAGTCAGGATGCTGCTACTGTCATCTACAGGGGAGGCAGGGATGTTGGTAAACATGGTCCTAGCCACACTGCAGAGGCTGACCCAGGACTGTCCGTGCCCTGGAGCTAGCTCCTTGCTGTGAGGCCTTGGGGTTAAGGACATCTTTCTACTTCTGGTTGTTTGGGGGTGGGGGTGGGGGTGGAGGGTGTGCTTTTTGAGACAGTGTCTCACTGTGTTGTTCAGGATGACCTTGAACTCCCTGTGTAGCTCTGGCTGGCCTCAAACTCGCAGCGATCCTTCTGCCTCTGCCTCTGCCTCTGCCTCCCCAGTGCTGGGACTACAGGCGTGCACCACCACGTCAGGCTTTTTACTCCCGCTTTCTGCACACCCTGTTGTAAATTCTGTCACTTAGGCTTTCAGTTTGGATGAGTCGGTGGATGTTCAGTAGGGTCAAATGCAGTGTCTTCTGTTTGTGCATCTGAAAGTATTTAATACATATTTGGAAAATGCAACGCATATACATGTTTGTGAATTATGAAAAGATTTCCCGTTTCACTTTTTAGAGAACAGATTATAAAATTTCAATTTAGAGAATATATTTAACCTTAAGTGCTGAATTCCATGTACATATGTCTTCTTTATTAGACACTAAAAATATTTGTGCTTTTTATATTACCTTTGGAAAAGTTGAAACTAACATTATAAACCACATATAGTTCTCATGTTTTGAATTATAATTGAATTTTAGTCTTATTAAGATTTTTTGGGTTTCATTTTTATAAATACGCCTTATTCTAAAAATTCAAATTTTGTTATTGCTTGGCTACAGGCATGTTAGTAGATCATGTTTTTTTTCTCTAAAGTGACAAAAAAATTAGGGGTTTATGTACTGTTAACAAGAAAAACATGTGGCAACAAAAAAGAATGAGGTACGGATACATGCTGCAGCATAGATGAGCCTTAGTGGAAGAAAGCAGTCACAAAGAGCCACAGAAGTGGTTCCGTTCACGTGACGCCCACTGAAGGCGTATCCACGCAGACAGACGGCAGGTTAGTGTTTGCTGATGGTGGGCAGAAGGTCGGGGGTGACTGCTGGTGGGTACAGGGCCTCCTCGGGGGATGAAAATACTGTATGAGGTATTGTAATGACTGGACGACTCTGACTGTATTACGAACTACTCTCTGGTACACCTTAAATAGACTTATGGTGTGCAAATTATATCAGGCCGTTTAAAATTTCAGTCAAAATGGAATAATTTGAAAGATTTATCTCCCAGATTATTCGGTATAGTTTATTGTCTTAGGCTGAAAGAATTACATAAAAATTATGTTACAATTAAATTCTGGCGTGTGGCATTTGGAGGTTTCGTTGTTTTATAATTGAAGTATGCAGTTGTACTTTTGCTTCATGTGAAAATATGTTTTAAAATATTACTCTTTTGAGTTTAATTCTTGATCAAATGAATGCATAAATAAAAATAGAAGTAGCGTTGCTTGCTTGCTTCAGACAGAAGAACTGCCGCGTGCGGCGCCTCGGCCGCAGTCTGCCTGGTGACTGGTTGCTCTGTGTGTTGCAGGGAAGGAGACTGGTGGGAAGCGCGGTCAATCGCCACAGGAAAGAACGGCTATATCCCCAGCAACTACGTGGCGCCTGCAGACTCCATTCAGGCAGAAGAGTACGCCGACGCTTCGTGTTTTATTCATTCTTTTGACTTGAGAAATGTTGTAATGCACATTCTACTTAGCCACTACTTTACACGCACACAATTACCAGTCTTAATACAACTGATGTATTAATAGATGTTACTTGAGAATTAATAATTAATAATATAGTATCCACTTAGGGTAGTATCATAAGGGGGCCTGCATTCATCATGCTGTTATGCCTGGTCTTTCTCCTCCATCTTTGGACTCGTTTTTAGTATTGTATTAACCCTTTTCATATTCTGCAGGCCCTCTTTTCTCTTGAAAATTTACCTCACTTAAATCTCAGATCAGTGCTTGCGATGTGCTTCTGTAGGAGCATGTCCTTGTCTTCTACGAAGCACACCCTGAGGTCTTCAGGGTCATGACTGAGTGCTGGCAGCATGCAGACAGGGCAGGGGAGACCGAGCATGGTAAAGCACAGTGTGAACAGCTGGGGAGCCTGCTTGTAGAGGATAGGGGACTCTGGGAACCATTCTTGCACCTTGAAAGGGTTGAAGATCACTGCTGCTAACATTCATTTTAGGTGCAGTTAATTCATCTGGGATCCATCAGTGCTACTCCGTTTTTATTTTACACAAATCGTGGTGCCTTGCATTCAGTAGCTACTCTTAACAGTACAGTACTTGTTGCTTTTATTAAGGATATGTCGTTTGTCTGAATAACTTTTCTATCAGGACATTTGTTACTGTTTGTTTTGTTCTTTCATCATCTTCCCTAGTATTCTGTGAATACTCCCAGAAGAGATTCATTTTTACTCTCAAGGCTTTCTTAGGTCAAACCCATGCAAATTTAGTTCCTCATAGTGTGGCTTGATATCCTTTCACACTGTTGCCAAAGAACCACCTCTGCTCTCGTTACTGTGGTCTTAATATTTCCTTTTGTCCTTGACAGAAAGCATCTGTTATTTGCTGTCTCCCTTCTCATGTACTGTTTCTGTGAATCGAAGTAGCCAGGACATGGAAATGCTGTCAGAGCATGTTCTAACAGTGGGATTTGTGATACTTTTAACAAATAAGAATTTACGTCCTCCTATATTTTAAGCCATATTCTGTAGCTATTTGACATCCTCACTAACCCACTCCCTTCTTACATACATAGTTTTTCTGTCTCATACCTTTCCAGTTCAAAACACCATTATTTTTTTTCCAGATGGTATTTTGGCAAAATGGGGCGAAAAGATGCTGAACGATTACTTCTGAATCCTGGGAATCAACAAGGTATATTCTTGGTAAGAGAAAGCGAAACTACTAAAGGTATGAATGTTAATATGTTAATATGTTAAAATTTCCTTGGGCATTATTTTGAGAAAAGTAGAGTAAAAATGTTCATCCCCACCCCCCAGGTGCTTACTCGCTGTCTATTCGTGATTGGGATGAGGTAAAGGGCGACAACGTGAAACACTACAAAATTAGGAAACTTGACAATGGTGGATACTATATCACAACCAGAGCACAATTTGAAACGCTGCAGAAATTGGTGAAACACTACACAGGTGGGTAAATATTTCCACACTAAAAACTTAACTTTCTTGCGGTCTATTACATGAGGACAAAAATTTATGTCTTTAGTGTGTGCCCAGTAAATGTGTCTAGGCTTGTTTTTCTTCTTTTTGGTATACTATCTCAGTATGTGCTTTAGCTTGGCTTAAGACTCCTGCCTCAGCCTCCAAAGTGCTAGAATTACAGGTGTGCACCACCATGCCTGGCCTCTGGTTTTATTTTATTTTTTTCCAGATAAAATATTGCCGGTTTATTTAAAACTTATTTCTCCCCTTCAGTATGCAAAATACAAACTCCACAAAATGTTCAAAATAGAAGTTTGTTTAAAATTGTATTACGTATGTATTAAGGCAAGAAACTACATACTTGGGAATAAACCATCGTACAGGTGTTGCACATTTGGAAACACAGTGCCTAACAAACTTCATAAAAATGTTAAGCCAGAAATTTAGTTCAGTGGTGCCACCGCCGCCTGCCCCACAAGCGCAGAATCTCAAGTTTGATCCCTGGTACCAAAAGAAAGTTAAAAAAGTAAACCAGGCATATTCACTTGACTTAGGTCATAAGTGCAGATCAGAAGGCAAAAGTAGATTTGCCTGGGCTGTGGATTTAGCTCAGTGAGCTGCCATCTGCCTCGCAAGTGCAAGGTCCTGAGTTCAAACCCTGATACCAAAAAAAAAAGATTTTTTTTTTCCCTGTCAAGTATGCAGCAGTTTGAGAAGAACTTTGGCTTCCTCATTTGGTACCTACCTTTAGAATCAAGACTCATCAAGCACCATCAAGTAGGCCTCTAAAACACATTGTCTGTACCTGAATTTCTTCTTGTTCTTCTAATGTCATACTAATTGGTCTCTAATTTTAAAATCAGGAGCAGACTTAATAGCATCTGAAGTGAGTAATTGGATAATGTGCTAAACTCAGATGGTTATTAGAATCCTTACTGGCATAGTGTTTACATTGGAGTTCCATTTCATACCATATAAAGACGGAATATGAAAGTGAATTAGGGCCTGGGATTTAGCTTAGTGGTTCCGCCGTCTTCTTTGCAAGCGCAAGGACCCAAGTTTGATCCCAGGTACCAAAAAAAAAAAAAGAATTAAAAAACATAATAGCATATTTTTATTTATGGACACTTAATAAATAGATAAAAGTAAATACTTAACATAAAAAGCTTTGTGAGACATCCTCTTAGATATTCTTCCCCTGCAGCTGCTGGATCTCATAAAATGTCCTAAAGTATAAACCCAATGGAAAAACAAACAAAAAACAAAAAGCAGGTGTGGTGGTGCACTTCTGTAATTCTGGCACTCAGGAGCATCGCCAGCCTGAACTACACAGTGAGACCCTGTTTCAAAAAACTAAAATAATAACGAGCCAAATAGATTTTGTCTTATCCTTGAAAATTAACCCATAGCAACTTTAAATGTTCTTATCTTTCAAAGACTTGAAAAATATTCAGTATCAGAATCTTATATCTCAAAATTTCTCTTCACCAATTTGATATGCAAATGTATCTGTATAAGTCTCAATGGTTGGAATTAGCTGTTTCCTCGGTGTTTTCTTCACTGGCAGCTAGCTGCAAACAGTCTATCAAGTCAGCCAGCACTCTTGACACTGACCAAATAGTACAAGCCCTGGCATCCCCGGTGGTTGCCCTCGTTAGAGTGCGAATGTGTGTGGAGACTTGATGCGGATGGAATATGTCTCCCATGGATACAGGTCACGCCATTACGAGTGTGGGGTTCCCTCCCTTGTGTCGTCCTTACTTAAAATTCAGTCCCCCAGATGAACATCTCTCTCGATTTTCAGTGTCTTGCAAATTAGATATTAATATTAGAAATAACAATTGATGATAGAATTTCCTTAAGAATAAGTCAGTCCCTGTGTTTAAGATAATTTTGCACCCTGGCTGACCTGAGCCTGAATCCCATCACTTAGACAAATATACATATATTCAGTACATAATAGCATAAAAATATTTTGCTTTTTTTTGTTTTGTATATGGTACTAGGGATTGAACCTAGGGCCTTCACAATGAGATGCATCCCCAGCTCTCTGTTTTATTTTTGAGACTGAATCTCAGTAAGTTGCCCAGGCTGGGCTAAAATGTGTGGTCTTTCTGCCTCAGCCTCCCAGAGCACTGGGATTATACATGCATACCACCACACCTGGCTCTTATTATATATGCTGCTTTGTTTTTTTCCTATAGACTATGCTGTTTTTCTGTTTTGTTTTGTTTGACAAAGGTCTCATTATGTAATTCAGGCTGCCTTGAATTCACTGTAGCCCAGGCTGGCCTCAAATTCATGGCTTTCCTCCTGCCTCAGCCTCCCCATTGTTGGGATTATAAGCCTGTGCCACCACATCTGGCTGTGTTTATATTTTTAAAGTAAAATTGGTAGGATATTGTGTTTTTGTTTTTCTATAATTTAAAAGGGCTTTTTAAATGATTATGCATGCATTTTAATTTTTGTAAGGAATTTATTTTACATTGTAGTTTATTCATTTATCTAGAACATGCTGATGGTTTATGCCACAAGTTAACAACTGTGTGTCCAACTGTGAAACCCCAGACTCAAGGTCTAGCAAAAGATGCTTGGGAAATCCCTCGGGAGTCTTTGCGACTAGAGGTTAAACTAGGACAAGGGTGCTTCGGTGAAGTATGGATGGGTAAGAAGCCTGAACTTTTTGGAAGGAGGGGGTGGTTTTTTGTCCATAGATTAAAAATGTTTAAATATTTAACTGCTGTTTGTTGAAGTGTAGTCTAAAAAAATCTCACAATATAGATTGAAATTGTTTGTCTCTCTAGGAACCTGGAATGGAACCACAAAAGTAGCAATCAAAACACTAAAACCAGGCACAATGATGCCAGAAGCTTTTCTTCAAGAAGCACAGATAATGAAAAAACTAAGACACGATAAACTTGTTCCACTCTACGCTGTTGTTTCAGAAGAGCCAATTTACATCGTCACTGAGTTTATGTCCAAAGGTACTATGTGTGAGTCTCTGAGTATTCATGCTGATAGGTTGGTCAGTCTCAACTACATAGTGAGACCGTGTCTCAAAAAGCCAAAAAAATAAAATAAAATAAAAAACAAAGTCTTCCTTTCAATTTTTCTAAACAAAGATTTTTATGGAATAGTGCTTTTGTAATTTAAGATTTTAGTAGACATTTTAAAAGAGGAAATGTGACACTAATGGAATAGTGATGAGTTCCAGTTATTCCTGAGTCTGTTACGAAGTTGAAAAGGCAAAATAGGCAGGCTGGATTTATTTTGAACATAGATTTGACTAAAGGAAACAGAATAGCCAGGGAAATTGAAAAATAAAACAAAGTGTACAAATTGAAATGATAAAATCAGAAAGATACTTAGATCCTTAGTACTAAAATAAGTGAAGGAAATTAATTTTATCTCATTTTATGTAAACCTGCTCCCTGTGCTCAGGACTCTTTGAAACTTCTTTTTTCTGCTCTTCCATTCTCCCAACCCTGACTAATAGGTGGGATCTTCAGTAATAGAGTTTAGGGCTGGGATAAAGAAAAAGGAAGACTGATACTCTTGCCTCTATCCCTAGGCTAATGGTGCTTCCGAAGAGGAACTAGGAAGTCAGAAAATATACTCACTGACCCAATGTAAACTATTTTGAATTAAGTATTTTTTAATTTATCATTTTGTTTGATTGAATTGGACTAAAGTCACTGGTTATGTCACCCCCTCCGTTAGTCTGCCTTGTCCGGTGACATAGTTTCATCTGATGGGATGGGTAATTACGAACTATGTATTTGCTGTAAGAAAAAATTTTCCCTGAAACTAAGTGATGTAGACTGTTTGTTGATAGCCAAAACATACCTCAAGCACAAGAGTGCACAGTAGTCTTTGGAAAGAATTTCTACGCCAAATAACTGCCAATTATGGCATTTTAGAGTGTGCGTTGAATGAACTGGGACAGGGCGGAAGTTTAAATACAGGTACCCGTAGCGGGAGAAATATAATGGGGCCCTATCTGTGACCCCAGCTTCTTGGGAAGGTTGAGGCCTGCCTAGGCAACTTACTGAAAGCCTGTCTCCAAATGAAAAGCATTAAAAGGGCTGGGGGTATAGCCCAGTACTCCGTGGGTTCAATTCCTTGTCCCTCACCAAAAAAAAGAAAAAAAAAAGATCATTTCATTGGGAGCATGGTCAAATTCTATGTTATCAGATCACTGGATTGGGATTATTTTCAGATGGAGATGTAGAATGCACCATAAAGTTTTTCTAGCTTTAAAACTCAGTAATTCCCCATTTGGGTATTCAGTTACTTAATAATTGGCTCCCCATATCCATCCAAAGTCACTGCTTCATGTACCCCAGCATTAACCTACTGCTCTCAACAGATAGATTCTCGTTACTTCTGACTTCTGTGATTGATAACTCATATACGCACTCTCACATATACGCATGTATGTTTGTGTGAGGCTGAAGGTCAGACCCAAGGCCTTGCTCATGCTAAGTAGGTGCACTGGGCTGGTCTAGTTTGTGGTCATGTGCTCCATTGCGTTGTCATTTCTTTTTAGATTCATCTAATCTGGGGCTGTTCTTCAGCCTTTTGGGAGGGGGGGTCTCATACATTGTTACTTTTTAAGAGAACAATTCAGTTTCTTGTTTATAAAATGTCCCTTAATTTGAAATCCTTGGTATGCTTTTAACCAGTTGTAGAGAGGCGACAACCAAAATTTTTCTTCCAAGCTTTTCACTTTGCTTTGTTCACAGTACATTTCTGTTACATGGCATCTTCTGCTAAACCTGAGAGGTCTAGGTCAGTCCAGCACTCCCACAGCAGCTCACTTAACAGTTTATACTTAACTGTAGCCACTCCAGGATATTCTGAGTTGTCTGAGTTAAAATATGTAAGTATCTAATACTAGTTTGTGAATCAAAATTAGAATCTTGATCAAAGCAAGGAAACAATGACTCCAATCTGAATGATGCAAGTCTCTTAGGAAAAGGAAAGACTACATTTTCTGTCTTCTTTGTATGTTGTCAAGAGAAGTTTCCAGATTTTCAGTTTAAGGATCTATTGTAGAATATTTAAGAATTATTCAGAAATTCCAGAACAAAAAGAAATTTAAAAATCAAAAGCTGAGAGATTTTGTGGTGTGGTAGGGTGATTTGTTTTGAGATTGGAGGAGGATTTATTTGAATCTTAATGCAAGATATGCTTACTTTTTCTGAATATCTTGTCCCTTACAGGGAGCTTACTGGATTTCCTGAAGGAAGGAGATGGAAAGTATTTGAAGCTTCCACAGCTGGTCGATATGGCTGCTCAGGTACTTGCATATACATATGTCAGCCAACTTGAACTGAAAGTATACATTTAAAATGTAGAGTTAGCTTAACAGAATATTATATTTTACATAGTAAAATCATCAAATTGCAGTACAAGTAGGAACATTGAAAGTAATCCAGTGTGAACTCCTAATATTACAGGTAATGTGGCATCTGAAGATCAGAAATACCTGAATTCACATAACTTGTTAGTAGCAGAACCAATATGGGAACCAGCTGTAGAATTCCTAGTTGTCCCTGTAAGCTGTAGTTGGCAGTGCTCTTATCACCAGGTCATCTTAGGTTGTTCCTGACTGGGACCCTGACAGGTTTGTGCCAGAGGTTCAGTATAACCCTGTGACTTACCTCTATCACGGAAGCAAGAAGACATTAGGATGTGACATTACTTTGCTAACAGTAACTGGATATGTGGGTAGGCTGAGAAGCTTGGCCCTTGGAGTATGTGTCAGGAGTTTGCTTGTGTGCAGTAGTAGAGGTGAGTCGTCTTTTTTGTAGGTTGAGTGTAGCGTGCTTCTTTATTAGTGTTGCCTCCTAGACTGTGCGTGTCGCTTTGCCTCCTTTTGAAAAATCTGATGGCTTCTCCCTGCTTCCTTTGTAACATTTTGTGTTCCTTTCCAAGATTGCCGATGGTATGGCATATATTGAAAGAATGAACTACATCCACCGAGATCTTCGCGCTGCTAATATTCTTGTAGGAGAAAATCTTGTGTGCAAAATAGCAGATTTTGGTTTAGCAAGATTAATTGAAGACAATGAATACACTGCAAGACAAGGTAAAATTACTTTTGTATAAATGCTTATAACATAATGACCTGTTTTTTCTTAGTTAACACTTTTGAAAATACAGAGGGTTTTTTTTTGTTGTTGTTTTCGTGGGGGATGGGGTTAAGACAGGGTCTCACTATGTAGTTGAGACTGACCTGGAACTCACTATGTAGCCCAGGCTGGCCTCGAACTCACAGTGATCCTCCTGCCTCAACCTCCCAAATACTGGGATTCCAGGCATATGCCACCACGCCCAGCTGAAGATACAGGTTTTTATACAATAAGAATAGTTCTAGCTCCCCTCAGAAGAGACATAGAAACACTGATTTTATTCATAAAACTATATAGAACATATATTAATGTGACTTTCTTGTTTTCTGTGAAGAACTTGACCAGATATTCATTGAATGAGAAATTATAGCAAGTAGTAACCTTTTTATACTCAGTCAGTTCTTGAACTTTTGCCCTAGAGGATCTCAATAAGGACAGTCTTGGGCAAGAGATTTAGCTCAGTGGTTCTGCCACCTGCCTCGCAAGTGCAAGGACCTGAGTTCAATTCCCTGTAACCCCCCCCCCCAAAAAAAAGGACAGTCTTTTTCTTACCCCCAGGAGACATCTGAAGTATTTAGAGAAATCTTTGATTGTCCCAGAGCAGGAGCTACTGCTGGCACCTACTGGGTTGAGCCAGGGATGCACTAAACGTCCTACAATGGCAGGCTAGACCCCACCACAAAGAATTGCCAGGCTCAAAATGGTCAGTATTGGCAAGTTGAGAAACCTGACTTAACCACACCTTTTTAACCTCTATACCTTCATGGCAGTTACGTCTAGTTGAAATATCTTCTTGTTCTTCTATAATCTTTACTTGTAAAATCCTAACCATTCATTTTAGGCTTAATTTAGCTACCACTCTTTCAATGAAATCTTTTGTGACTGTGCCACTGAAAATTACCTTCTGTTTGTTGAAATATCTAATATAGCCTGCTTTGTAGCACACTGTACTTACATATACATGTAGATAATTTAAAATATATAAGGCATCTATAATCTTACTAGCATGAACATAGAAACTTCATGAAAACTGGCTGGGGATTTAGCTCAGTGATTCCCCCACCTGCCTCTCAAGCTCAAGGTCCCAAGTTCTATCCCCAGTACAAAAACAAACAAACAAAAAAAAAATCATGAAAGCCATGTTTTTATGTGTTTGTAATGATTAGAATAATGCCTGTTCACAGCAGGCATACACTAAACATTTGAATAAATTAACATGGGCTCTTACAGTTGGTAACACAGTAAACATTTTGAGTGATAATCATAATACAGAAAAAAAATATGGTTGCAAACCAGTAGCCATTAGACCCCAACAGAATATGTCCTTGTCAGCTCACAGCTACAAGTCACAGACTGTGTAACCCGTATTTTATAAGCCATATTCTTGGCTTAGAATGTCATAGCCCTTCCTCTGACCTTCCCTCCTTCCTTCCATTTCTCCTTTTCTTCTTTTTTTCCACCCATCTTTCCTTCCTTTTTTTTTTTAATTTTATTTTGTAGTATTGGGATGGAATCCAGGGCTTCACACATGCTAGACAAGTGTTCTGCTGCTGAGCTGCATCCCCAGCCCTTGTTTAGGCACAAATTCCAACAAATTCGAGACAGAGAGCCTGAGCCCAGCCTGGCCTTGAATTTGTGATCCTTCTGCCTCAGCCTTCTGAGTAGCTGCAGACATGTACTACTACACCAGAAGGACCTTTGCTTTCTTGAATGGTCCTGTTTTCACTACCAACTTTCTTTTTGTTGTTGTTGTTTTGTTTGTTTGGGGGTTTTTTGTTTTGTTTTGTTTTTGTTTTGAGACAAGGTCTCCCTGTTCAGGCTGGCCTTGAACTATGTAGCTCAGGCTGGCCTTGGACTCCCAGCAATCCTCCTGCCTCAGCCTCCCAAGGCTGGGATTACAGGCATGCGCCACCACACCTGGCTCTCTTTATATCATTGAATGTCGTATGAGAAAAAAATTGATTTATTTTAATATAAATTTTTTAATAAAATATTTTGCCCATATACTTTGTATATTTGAAGGATTGGACACCAATGATACATACAAATAGGATATTGACAAAAGATTAACCCTACTTATATTTACACAGATAGATTTAAAAAAAAAAAGTTAATTTATGATTGCCGATATTGTCTTAGGTGCAAAATTTCCAATCAAATGGACAGCTCCTGAGGCTGCGCTTTATGGTCGATTTACAATAAAGTCTGATGTATGGTCATTTGGGATTCTACAGACAGAACTTGTCACAAAGGGGAGAGTGCCATATCCAGGTAAGCCCGCTTTTCGTCAGCTCTTGGTTTCCGTCAGTGACTAATGGGAGTGTATCAGGGGTAGCATTGTATGGTGGGGCTTCATTTCTTCTTTCCACGCCCGCTCCTTATCTTGGTATTGGATGGAAACACCAGTAAGAGCCCAGCCTTTGAGGTGGGGCAAGCAGAGAAGGCATACTTGGTATTCCTCTCTGCCTTTTCCTTTGGGACCTTTTCCCAACAGGCCTTTAATTGGTTTTCTTCTCTCAGATCAGAAGTATACGCTGCCCCACAAACAGTAAGCGTTTCTTTCTATAGTATGACTGGTATTTTGTAAATACGTATTTGCCCTATGTTCCTCAGTGGAATATTTGAGAAGGAATTATATAATCACTGAGGAAAACAAATGTATGCTTCCTAAAAAATAAATAGCTTGCCTACTTGCTTCTAGGGAAATGAAATTGAGCTAGAATTGAGTATTATTTTAGACTGATGCTAGTTGAGACTGAAAGCATGTGAAATCCAGTCTTCTTGAAAAAACTGCTATGCTAACCTTAGGTTTTTGCACATTTTCTAGCTTTCCTCTTAACAGCTGTAAAGGCCACCACCTTACCGTCCACTTCCCCTCATTTCTTCTCCTTGCTGATAATCACTGTCCAAGTTCTCTCTCAGTAGTGACTCCCACCTGCCCTTCCCAGGCAGACTCCACTGCTGTCTAATTCATGGTCATCTTGCTTTACCTGTCAGTGATTCTTGGGTCTCTTCTTGCTTGAACCTTTCTCATCTGTGGTCTTGTCATCATCACTCATGCCGTAAACCTTCGCACTGCCAATAACTCCACTCCTCATAACTGCTAATATTCCACACATCCACTCTCTGACCACCACCTCATGCCTTTCCAGTTCTACTCGAACCCTAGCAGTTTCTCCACACACTCTGGGTCTTTAATCCTTGGATTCTACTACCTTTGCCCCCACCTTCTTCATGAAAATACTCCTTAAATCTCATGGTGATGTAATGTAACCAAACCTTGATGTTTACATTTGTCCTTTTCTCTCATTTCTCATTTGTTTGGCAAAATCACAACAGTAGATAAAATCTAGCTGTGCCTACATTATACCTATACACATAACTGGAGAAAGCAATATAACCACAATATAGTTTTACTTTGGATTTATAGCCAGGAGGAACTTTCATTTGGGCCATGATGGAGGGGCTAATACCCAACTTACAACCTCACTACAAATAACCACAAAAGATAAACAAAATATGTAACACAGCTATTGTGTAACAACCACTGAAGGCCACAGTCCTTAAAAGGGCAAGCACGTAAAATGAGCCTTCCACTTACATGACCTTTCTCCCTGAAGACATGTTCTAAAAGAGCACAGGGAAGAAAGCCCAACAGGAAACATCAGTCTTACAGAGCCTGGGCCGGGGATTTAGCTCAGTGGTTCTGCTGCCTGCCTTGCCTTGCAAGTGCAAAGACCCAAGTTCAACCCGCAATACCCAAAAAAAAAAATAGCCAGGCCTTGACAAATAGGATCCAGGTAGTAATCAGCCAGTCATTTTTCTGGTGAATAAAACCTAACATCTTTCAGGAAAAGGTCATGATTTGGATTAATTCAGTGTATAACTCAAAATGTCTAGCATAAAAGAAAGTTAACTAGACATGTAAGAAAAGGAAGAAATGACTAATTATCAGGAATATAAGATTAATGAGAACAGACCAAGAGATAATCCTGATTTTGAAGTTAGCAAAAGCTTTCAAATTAGCAATACTTAAAATGGAAGAGAGTCTGGAAAACACTGTGTCAACTGAAAAAAGACACACACATTATAGAATTCCGTTTATATTGTTGCAGAAGGAACTGGTAAATGACACACAGAGACGCAGAAGTGGGTAAAACAAATCATGTTCACTTCTTCAGCAAGGGATCCACCTGCACCAAAGGCTGTGCCAAATGACGGTCCCTGGGCTGGGTTACAATCTGCCTTTTATCGGAGTTTTACAACAATCATGACTCATTTCAGGTGACAAAATACTCTAGTTCTCACAGTTTCTATCGCAAAACATGATCACAAGACAGATTCAGTGTTAACCCAAATGTAGCAGTTTCTTTCAGGATGTTTATCTTTAGCTATTCCAACCTAAAAGGGTGTGGGTCTGGGTTAGGAAAGCAGGACTGGTGAGATTCCTTTCATCTTAACACCTTCATAGTCTCATGGTGTACAGAAAGTTTTATGGCTCAGGGACTGTTATCTTAGCTTGAACATCTGGTCTCATCCTGGGATGCAACTACGCATTTGTTAATTTAAACCGGGGCTATGTGCCTTTAAGCTTCATTGGTGAAACCTCGGTGTTTTGTTAAGCAAAGCAAAGCAAATTACAGAAGCAAAAGACAGCGCTTATTCTATATATTTTTTTAACATTTTGTAGGTTTTTTCAGACTATTTAAAAAGTTCTTTCTCTTGATATGAAATGGCAAAACAGACAATCCCTAGAGATGAAACTCAGGCTAGTAGTTGTCTAGTAGGGAAGATTAGAGCGAAATGGGTACGGCTGATAATAGATACAGGCTTTAGGAGGGGGGTTGATAAGAATGTTTTAAAGTTGACTTGTGATGGTTATGTAACTGAATGTATTTAAAACCATCAAATTTTATACTTTAAATGGGGAATTATAGTTATATGAAAGAGCCAAATGGAAATTTTAAAGCTGTAAAACATGAAATAAGAACAAATTAGATGGTCTGGCGATTTAGCTCAGCGGCACTGTGCCAGCCTCACAAGTGTAAGGTGTTGAGGTCAATCCCTGACACCAAAAATAAATCAATTCTGTGGCAATAATACAAAGGACAGGGAGGTAAGGAGTATAGGTGAGCTGCTCTAAGTTTCTTTCACTGGAAGTGTAAAAGTACTCATTTAAAGTAAAGTATGAAAAACCAAAGAAGAGTATTATACTGTATCTCAAGGGACAACCACTAAAGGCCTAAAGTAGATCAGAAAGCTAGGAGAGGAACTAGTTGGTAGCTCAGTGGTCAAGTTTATGCTTAGCACGCATGAGGCCTGTGTGTGCGTGCACACACGCGCGCGCGTGCCTGCTCATTCCCTAGGGGAAAAATAAATAGATTAATGAAACATACTGCCTAATCAGAATAAAAATCAAGAGAGAAAATACTGTGGGACAAATAGTAAATAAGTACTGTAATAGGATGGTAGGGTTAAACCCACTTATATCCATGATTACATGTAACAAGTTCAGTAAATACTCCAATTAAAAGACAAAGAGATGACTAGATTTTAAATATGTAAGTGCTATAACACTGTTTATGACACATACTTTAAGGACTATAATTTAAGATTGGAAAAGATATACTATGCAAATGCTGTGTAGCAGTTATTATTGACAAAAGAACATTTCATAATGATAAAATGACCAATTAAATGGAGAAATCTAAAGATCCAAAATGAATATATAACTAACTACATAGCTACAAATACACAATACAAAAAGAAATATGACTGGGATAATTTAACTGTTCGGATGAGAATCAAAATATAAATGATTTCGGATGAGAATCAAAATATAAATGATTTAAGCTGGGCGTGGTGGTGCACACCTGTAATCCCAGCACTCAGGAGGCTGAGGCAGGAGGATTGCTGTGAGTTCGAGACCAGCCTGGAGTACATAGTTCCAGGTCAGTCTCAACTACGTAGTGAGACCTTGTCTCAAAAAACCAAAAAAAAAAAAAAAATGATTTGTAAGTTGGAAGTTATGTTTTGGCAGTCCTGTGGGTGAAACCCACAATCTCATGCATGCCATTCTTTAAAGAAGAGAAAGATCTACATAGGCAGCATTATCTTTTTCTGGTTCACGTGTTGTACAGATGCATCTGCTCCAGGCTCTTCTCCCACTGAACTGTCCTTTGCAAAGCCACAGTGTTTGTTTGCATCATCCCCCCCACCCCCAGTACTGAGGATTGAACTCAGGACCTTGCTCTTGCAAAGCAGACACGGTGCCTCTGAGCTAAGTCCCCGATCCCACAGTATCTCTTTGCTAGTCTTAGTTTGGGACAATAACACACCTGGGCAATGCAATCAAGATTGGCATATTTAAATTTATTGGCAGGGTGCTAAATATTTACCGTTTGATGTTAAGAGTTGATAGTCTGAACTACAGCCTTCCTGTCTGCTTTTTTCCTGTGTGGTGTGGGAGACATTCACCTTCCTGCTGTGCTCAGGGAGTTGTGTCTCTGTCAGAAGCTCGCTAACAGGAAATGATTCTCTTCCTGAAGATAGAAAGTATTCCTGCCAGGAGCTGCTCTGGCCCTATTTTACTTTCATAACTATTGGCATAAAATAATTCAGTAGTTGTGATTATCAGAAAATTCTGAAGAGTTGAGTTTTAAATGAAAGAGTTTATTGCTAACTAGGGCTGAGCATATATAGTTCTATAATATGAGCATATACTTCGCAGGTGCCGGCTTTGGGTTTAAAACCAAAAAATGGGTTTATTGGTAGTTGGGAGGGTTTTTTTGGTATATTCAGGCTTATCTAAATTAATCTTACAGTCTATTAAAATAATAAAAAAGCATACAATAAAAGAACAAAGGCATAAAAATGAAGGGGCGTGGTGCTGCCACCTGCCTCGCAAGTACAAGGTTCCGAGTTCAATCCGTGGTTCCAAAACGAGTGGAGGGGAAATGAGTTCCCTAATTGTAGTAAGCTCCCGTTGAATGGTAAGTACCTTGTTCCTTTTCAGCTTCCCACTGACAATTTCTGGTTGTATTTCTATGGTGTATAAAATACACTGCATTTCATTTACAAAGATGATGCTGCGTACTTAGATAAAAATCTCAAAAAATTTCCTTTCAAGCATTAGGCCCCAAATTGCAGTTTCCTTTAATAGTTTTTCCTTAAATGTTTTGTGGAATTATTTATTCCTGAGAAATATTATGACTAAAAATAGAACTAATTACTGTCATTACATTGTTTGAAGGGAATCACGGTCTAGGAGATTGGTCAGTTCCAGGTGGCAGGAGGTGGGAGGGACAGCTTGACTGACGTGGGAAGTGGGGACACAGTGAGGAGAGGACAGATTCGGGAAGAGGACCTGTTTTGGCCTGTGATGAGACAGGGTGAGCTGTCGGGTGGGGGTGGGTGGGGGCTGTGAAACAGTACAAGAAAGGAGCTGTGTGTGACGAGCCTGCAGAGGGCCCAGTGAACGAGGACAGCTGAGGCTGTTGGAAGGCAGTGACTCGGTGCAAAACTACGCAGTCAGTACTTGGCAAAGCCAAGGTTACAGTTCTCCGAATTCCTGCTTGAAAGTTCTTTCCGATGCTGCCTTGCCCACCATTCCTCATTAACTCAAGCGAGGTTGTTGCTAGACGTTAGCATCAGAAAGTATCAGTACCTCAGAATGACAGCCTGGGTTCTGCCTAATCACGTCGGGTTGGCTTTCGAAGATAGGAGTGTTAATTTAGGTGGAACGAGAAATTTGACGTGTTAGACAGAGGAAGATTTTCTAAGTTTCTCTTGATATACTCTGATATTTAAAATTTGTCTTTTTGTTGAAAGGAGCTTTTCACTTGCCTTGAGTCAGTTTGTCGTGCTTGTGTGGGTTGATGTGTGACTCTTGTGTGTCAGGTATGGTAAACCGCGAGGTGCTGGAGCAGGTGGAGCGGGGATACAGAATGCCCTGCCCTCAGGGCTGCCCAGAATCACTCCATGAATTGATGAACCACTGCTGGAAGAAGGACCCTGATGAAAGACCAACATTTGAATATATTCAGTCCTTCTTAGAAGACTACTTCACTGCTACAGAGCCACAGTACCAGCCAGGAGAAAATTTATAATCCAAATAGCCTGTTTTATATGCACAGAGCTGCCAAAATGTAAAGGACTTGTGTAGAGTTCCTCATGTACAGGAATCAAAAGAAGAAGGTCTTCTTCACTCTGCATGTTTTTAATGGTAAACTGGAATTCCAGGTATGGTTGCACAAAACCACTTTTTTCTCCAAGTGTTAAACTTAAAAAGTACCAATGATGAATTTTGCAACTATTTCAGGGTCCAAAGAAAGCTATGATATTGGTGACAGTGTGAGACAGAACGGCAGGGAAGAGCGGCGAGCCTACTATTTTAAATCACTTCCTTCCTTTCTTCTCCAGACTCAGAATTATTTTCTGTAGTAGAATTTATTTCTCATAATTTTAAGAATAAGAGAAATATTATTATAGACAAAACTTGGGAGGCAAAAAGTCAAATCATAAAAGTAAATCTAAAGGAACTCATAGGACCAAATAATTCCATTCCAGGTTTTTTTTATTTTGTTGCATTTATTATTCTCAAAAGTTTTTTTTCTATGTTAAACAGTAAATCTGCGGTCTTAACATACGCCTCCTTTTGTGTAGAAATGCGCTAGGCTTTTCAAAGCAAAAATAAAAGGACTTTAAACTTGACTAAATGTTAGACCACAGCAGTGCTGTTTGAAAGTATAATGCACTATGTTTATACTCAGATTCTTGGAACTGGAAAGTAGAAAAAGAAATTTTTCACTGAAGTCATTTTCTGAGTAGTTCAGTTTAGAATAATGAAGGTAACCTGAAAAACAAGTTAATCTTTCATAAGTTTGTATTGATTTTTTAAAAGGCAATATGTAATTGAAATTGTACTGTCCAATCCAAGGGGAAATATTTTAATCTATAGATGGCATGAGAAGTGAGACCCAGCATTGAAGCAGGCCATTCTTTAGAAACAAGACTTGGTACTGTGAGATGTTGCTGTTGTGTTCTTTTGGCGATGGGTGCCGCAGATAGGAAAATCACTGGATCAGGGACTTGAATGCACTTTGCTTGTTTGAATATAGACTGAGAGAGAGGGAAAATGTATTTAAGAGAAATAGGAGAAAAAAATGTGAAAGTTTTACAGGTAGAGGGATGGAATGGATTGTTTAGTGTTGATGTCATGGAGGGACGGAGCGGCTTTGCCGGCACTCAAAGCTCCTTGCTTAGTTGTTTTCTGAGACTTTAAGAGTTACGAGGTGTGTCTGTAAAGCTAATTCTTCTTAGCATACACACTAAATGAGTATTATATCCTCAAATAGTGAAGTGAAGGCTTCACACTAATTCCAGTGTCAAAGCTTTTATGCAAAATCTTTTTAGAACTCCTCTTTTCAAACCATGTTTGAATCTTCATTCTTTTTAAAAATATTCTTAATGGTTGTTTTTCCCTTTAGGAATATAGTTGATTTTGGGAGGGAAACTTATTCAGAAGAGTAACAGTGGTTCAAACAGGGCGAGTTTTTGACTACTTGAAGTGTAAAGTAAAACATGCAAAATAAGACTGATTTTTCCAACTAAGAAAGAAATTCCAAGATGTGAATTTGAATATCAGCATTATTGGCTTAAGAGTCTATCAGAGAGCCAGGGATGTAGCTCTCAGTGGCCCCGCTGCCTGCCTCACAAGCGCAAGGACCGGAGTTCAATCCTCAGTACCAAAAAAGAAAAAGTCTATCAGAGAAAAGCTAAATTTGATAAATTAAAGTCTATTATTCATGTTTTTTAGAACAGTTTTATAGTCATACTTTAAACCTGTATAAGGTTCTGTATTTTCATATGATTTTTAACTACCATCACTTCATCTGATTTAATCGTGAAGTTAGAAATTCTGTGCCGTGGTATAAATGTTCAAATTCAAGCCATTTTGAAATGTGCAAGTTGGCAACAGTACTGGTACTAAAGAGTGCGGTTGTGTCCTCTGTTTACATAACCTGTGTAGTGTGGAATCCCTGACCAAGAGGGGCTTCCTGAGGAGAGTCGCATCGTTATTTCCCCTTGACACACACAACCTGTGGCGTGAGTTTTTAAAAGGGCTTTATGGTGAACTATGATGTTGTAATTTTTGTAAGCATCTTCAAAGAGGTAGCAAATTTATGTTTATTTACTAATTCTGATCAGGAAAATTGATGGTATTCATTAGATTTTAACTGAATGAAGCAGTTCCTTCTAATCACAATTGTACAGTAAGGATAAAACACTAACTTAATATGTATTCATTTTAAATTGTTATGTATTTTTAAATTGCCAAGAAAAATAAACCATTTTGTATATTTGAAAAGCTTTTTCCAACAGCTTTCGTCTTCAGTGTCTTAATGTGGAACTTAACCCTTACCAAAAGTGGAAGTTGGCAAAAGCAGCTTCTAGCAGATATACTTTTTTTAATGAATAATGATAACCTAAGACTTAATATTTTTATAAAGTACTATATCATTTTGTGGATAATTGAAATAAAAATTCTCATTGAATGTGCCTGTTTATCTTTTCTGTTGCTATTCATATATTTTCTCATTCCTTTTTCAAGAAAATTGATATATCCTAAATTTATTCTTCCATTGGAAAATTTAGTTACATGTAACTTCTGAGCAAAGTCAACTCTTTATTAAATTTATTATATTATTAGTAAACTTATTCCATGTGATTAGTTTTCCATGTCAGATGAGTGTCACATTTTTTTACAAGTACTTTCTTTTTTAAAAAATTACACTGGCAAATACAGTCAGTATTTCACATAAAGAAAACTTAACTCCAGGTGAGCTGTTCATACAGGGCATATGTGAAGGGCATAAAGCAGAATGACTTTAATTAAGAGACTTAATTTTTTAAAACTCCATAATGTGTGAGCCATATCTCCATGTGTGCTGTACTATAACTTCAGTGAAAATAAAACGCATGTTGAATTTTAAATGGCCAATCCGAAGTATTTGTGCTTTTTAGTACTGTAATTGTGTTAATTACCATTTACAGTCATATCTAAAACTGTTAGGAGCAAATAACATTTAAGCAGCACACATTTCCTTTATTACACATTCATTGAGTAGTTTTCTTCTTTTCTTGTTTTATTTTTTGTGTATGTGGTACTTGGAATTGAACTCAGGACCTTGCACTTGCCAGGCAGGCGGGATGCCCCTGAGCTAAATCCTCAGCCGTATAGTTTTATAGTGTGATAATAGCCACTCAGTTTAAGAAGATTTTTCTAATTTGCTGTTTGCCTTTGTCTTCTTTGTTTGCTTCCTTGTTTGAGACAGTCTCACTGTATTGTTCAGAATGGCCTTGCACTCACTATGTAGCCCAGGCTGGCCTCGAATTTGCAGTGATCCCCCTGCCTCAGCCTCCTGAGTGCTGGGCTTATAGGCATGTGCCACTGCACCCAGCTTGCCTTTGCATTTGGTACATACTTTTTTTAACAATTTAGTTGCACACTTGTCTGTTGTCACATCTATTCCTTTTCATGTTTAGAAAGAACTTATGTGAGGGCCAGGAATTTAGCTCAGTGGCACCATGTCTACCTTAAAAGTGCAAGCTTCCCCCCGAAAAAGAAGGCAATTACTTGAGTTTGAAGTATAACTTTACAGGTCTAACATGATTGTTTTCATTATAGTAAAGTTTCCCAGCAGCATTCACTGGTTAACCCATTCCTAACCCATTGGTTTGAGTTCTTTATTTTACTTACCTTTCCCTTTTCCTTTTTTTTTTCTTTGTCAGTTTTTGTAGTTTTCTTTAAGCACAAATAAACATGCACGTGAGCCGACTACTTGTTTCATTCACTGCACAGCCTGGCATTGGGATTGGTACTCGGATGGCCAGCTAGGCCGCTCTTTGTGCCTTGCAGTTCTTGGAAGAGACATTGTGAGCGATCTCTGCACAGTAAGACTTGTTGCACATCAGCAGACCTCCAGCTCCTTGACTTTGTGTACCACGAACTTCCAACTTCCAGAAGACACTGGGCAGCATGTGCTTTGTCTTTTTGTTGCTTCAGAATCTGGCCCTTCAACCTTCTCTGCACCCTATTGTCAGTGCCTCTGGGTTTATGCCAGTTGCACTTAATTTTGACATATCGGTCTAACTGGTGCCTGATGAACCTCTTGGTCCTCTTTTTGACAATCTTGGGTTTCATGAGGGGTCTGAGGTGGCTGCCACCTCTGTAGGAAGCACCAAGGAAGAATCCTATCTTACCTTTTTAACTTAAACTTTCCTTACCTTTACTTTACCACTCTCTGTGTTGCCCAGGACGGCCTCGTACTTAGAATCCTCCTGCCTCAGCCTCTGGAGTAGAGGATTAGGAGTGCATTCCCCTGTGCCCAGTTGAGTTTCTTCTATTATGCATAGTTGTCTAGTTGTCATTTCTGCCATCAGCATAACACCTAAAATTTCTTTCACTTGGTATCCTGACAAAAAAATTTGGGGGTGGGTGGGTACTGGGCTCAAACTCAGGATCTTGCTCTTGCCAGGCAGGTATAGCGCTGCTGAGCTACATCCCCAGCCAAGTCCTGACGGAAGTGTAGGCTTTATTTTTCTAAGACTCCAGGTGAGGTTTAGTTGGGATTGCATTATGCTTGTGATGTAATTTGGTGAGCACTGGCATCTTCCACATCAGTCCTGCCACCCCATGTGTGCAGATCTTCACTTAACCCTCATAATATTCTGCAGTAACGGGTGAGCAGGCTGGGAGTATAGCTCCGTGGCAGTGTGGCAGTTAGCCTGCTTGGGGCTGGGATCAGTCAGTCAGCAGATAAACAGCAGTGAGATAGTGAGCCACAAGACACACGGAGGGGGCCGCGGTGCACGTAACTGAGTGCAAGCATTCCGCTTGAAAAAGCCTACGTATTGTATGTCCACCTGTGGCCTCCTGGAGAAGGAAAGCACTAGAAAGCAGTGGTTGCGAGGGAGGGGTGCATAGGTAGAACACAGGATTTTCAGAGAAGTGAACATATTCCATATTTCCTTCTCTTGAGGTCTTAAGTAGTCTGCTTTAATTTCACATTCTACTTGTTCATTTGTCATACAGTAAAACCTTGGTTTATGAGCATCATTCACCCTGCAAATGGGTTTAATCCAAAGCACTTGTATTTCAAAGTGAATAATAATGGAAACTAGATGATTTCATTCTACAACCCAAAAATATTCATATAGAAATGCTTATGGGTTTGTAATATAATACAAAAGAATAATGAAAATATGAAATCTGAAGAAAAGTAGACAAGTTAACTTGCACTTAGCTTTGAGAACCTTCAGGCTGGTGTGAGGGACCAGAGAGGAGGGTTACTGTAGAGCAACACTCACTCTCACTGACAGAATCACTGCTATGTGTTAGCTCAGTGGAATTTTCTTTTCATGCAGCTTTACTAAGGATCCTATCCAGTGACACTTGCTTTTGCCTCCCCTTGAGGATTTCATGGAAATGTGAGATTGCCTGCTGCTCACTTGCTGGCACTGCTGCAGCTTTACCCGTGTGATTTTCTATAGAATTTTACATGTCTCCCTAGTCTTACTTGGAGGATTCTAACACCTTTTTCTCCTTCTGCAGCCAAGATCTCCTCCAGACAGACCCATCAGTTCATCAGTGTCAGCTCCTGGCCATGTTCCTCTCCAGCTCTTGAATGGCACCCTTGTTCACCTCCAGTCCCATGGTCTTCCCCAAGGATGTATTTTCATCACAGGTGGCTCCTGTTAGAGCGAGCCTCTCTAAGTCATGTCCCAAAACACACTCAGGCCACAGTTTTCTCCAAGCTAAATTGAGGCTCATCCTGGGCTTTATCAGTGATTTATAATAGTTCACAATATGGAAGTGATTTTTCCAACACTTACAGAGGGTAAGGCTGTTTTGGTTACCTTAAAGCATCAGTGCTTTGGTATAAAGCTTTTTAAAGTTCAAAATGACCTGCTGATCCATGGGCTGGAGGGTTGGAGTGGTGCTGAGAAGGAACTTGACCTTAATAAACTCAAATTCTTCCAGTATGTCATCCTCAAAACATGAAGGGTGAGCAAGAGCATGATCCATAACCAGCAAGGCTCTGAGTGGCAGATTCTTTTCTAAAATATGTTTCTGAACTGTAGGACCAAAAGATCCCATTGATCCACTCAGTGAACAAGATATGCGTGACCCAGTTCTTGCTGTTGGACCCCCACACAGCATTTAGCTAGCTGTTCTGCACCTTGCATTTCTTGTAAAGCCCATGGATTCTTGAAATGAGAGACAGGCAGGGGCTTCACTTTGAAATCCCTGCTTGCGTTACCACAAAATCAGGGTGAGGTGTTCTTTCATGGTCTTGTGACGGCATCGTGTTACCTTTTGTGATGTAGGTCCTCTTTGGCATTGTTTTCCAAAAAGTTCCATCTCATCATCTGGCAGAAGGAACTGGTAAATGACACACAGATGCAGAAGTGGGTTAAAAAAGAGTAACAACAGCAAACATTTACTTTGCTAGCAAAGGTTCAGCCTGCACCAAAGGCTGTGCTAAATGACTGCCTCTGGGCTGGGTTACAATCTGCCTTTTATAGGAGTTTTACAGTCATGACCTCATTTTGGGTGATAGGATATTCTAGTTCCCACAGTTCCCATCACAAGTCATGGTCACAAGACAACTCAATGTTAACTGAAATGTAGCATTTTTCTTTCAGGATGTTTAGCTATTTCAGCCCACGAGGGTTGGGGTCAGACTTAGGAAAGCAGGACTGGTGACATTCCTTTCATCTTAATTCCTTTATAGTAATATGGTTTACAGAAAGTTTTAGGGCTTATAGACTGTTAGCTTGAACATCTGGTCTCATCCTGGGATGTGGCTAAGCACCTCTGGCATCTGTTAATTTTAAACTGGGGCTACATGCCCTTAAACTTCATTGGTGAAACCTCAGTGTTTTGTTAAACAAGCAAAGCAAATTACAGAAGCAAAAGACAGCAGTTACTGTAATTTCTTTAACATTTTGTAGGTTTCAGACTATTTACAGAAGTTCTATCAATCGCAGCTAAAAACTTGCTATGAGCTGGGCATGGTGGTGCACGCCTGTAATCCCAGCACTGGGGAGGCTGGGGCAGGAGGATCGCTGTGAGTTGTTTTGAGATCAGCCTGGGCTACATAGTGAGTTCCAGGTCAGTCTCAACTACATAGTGAGACCCTGTCTCAAAAAAACAAAAAAAACTTGCTATGGCAGGTAACACTTGGAAACCATGAGCTTCTGGAACTTGTTAGTGAACACCCCAGCTATCTATCTCAAAAAAAAAAAAAACTTGCTATGGCAGGTAACACTTGGAAACCATGAGCTTCTGGAACTTGTTAGTGAACACCCCAGCTATCTTAGCATCCAAACTCACAGCCTCTCCATACCTCCAAGGACTACAGATGCCACCTCTCCTCTCGAAGTCATCAAATCATCCATTTGCCTGGAACCCTTTGTTTTCTTTCGATGTACCTGGCACTTTACTTACAAGATTGATGTTC